CCCCCCCGGGGGCCGAAACCCGATGGCTCCCGAAGGTGAGTCTCGACCTCGGCTTCGAACCTCGAGAAGCATGTTCGTGAGGCGATCTAATGACGGGGAAATCGGGCCCCCGGTTTTACCGCATACAGATAGTCTTCGTGTTTCTTAGAGTAAAAGTGATAAGAAACGAACTTGAATTTCTTCGTCCTTCGATATTCTTATAATCAGCTACGGCCACAAGATGCCAATATACGACACGCACGCTGCTCCTGCAGGTTTCCGCATTGACTATGGCAGTTGGCTGCCTCTTGGCCTCCTTCAATGCACATGCGGTGCTTTTATAAATACTCCCTTTCTTCTTTTCTATAACCCATTGCGTGCCCAAATCCCTGGAAAAGGTTTGCTCTTTCTCTACTCTTGTTCTTTCTCAGGAACACAACTTTTTTTCTTCCTCCAGAATCTTCTAGGTATGGTAAAAACTCCCGCCTCTGCTTCTCAGGAGGTTGCGGTCTCATCCTCTTTGCTTCTTTCTTAAGGTGAAGTGGCCACACCTCCTCGCGCTGAGGAATGCGTCCCAGGGTCTTTTGCGATGACCTCCGATATCAAGGCCGAGAGACCTTCCTCGAAGCCAAAGCTTCGCGAGCCCGTGACTCGGTATATCAGCTCGGTAACAGAAGTCGGAGAGTGAGGGCTGGCTGCCGCTGGGGGGATACCATGCTTGTGGAGATCCCTGCTCGGGAAGAAGATATTACGGCTCATAAAGCCGGCTTTCTGAGTACCTTGGGGCCGGTGAGGCCATCCTCACCCCCGATCGACCCTGTGATTCTCGACTTTTGTGACGGTATCAGGTAACCCTTGGTCAAATTCATCATTCGTTCTGGCGCGTTGTTTATATGTTCAGGCATTACACAAACATGATAGAGGAGATGCCCTTCACCCTCAACCACCTGATTAGTATGTATAGTCCTCGTCTCCTCCGCAGGGGCCTAATCAAACTTCACTGTCGAGCCCCGAGGTCCCTCTTTGCCTGCATCAAGGAGCTCGGGAACGAGGGATGGGCAAGCTGATTCGTCAGAGTGAGGACTTCTGACCTGATCCTGGCGGAAAAGATGCCATTTCTCGAGAGGTGGAACGCTGGGCGTAAGTAAATGTGTTGTCGGGTCTTCCTTCGCTTCTCTTTGACAATATTTCTCCAAGCATCTAACTCTATTTCTATTGCTTTTTTAGCCGTAGCAACCTACCCTGGTGATGTTTCGGACCTCCAAGATTGGGTCGGCCGCTTATACTCGATTTGCCCATATGACGAACGAGTATGGCGAGATTTATCCCGAGCCCGGTGGGAAGCCAAAGATCATGGTAAGCTCCGAACCTTGTTGCATCCGTATCCTTTGATGCAAATCGCTATTAGTAGCGTTCTTCATTCTTTGTGTTTAACTTCTGCATTTGTGTAGGTCTAGGGGAAGTCCCTTTGACGAAGGAGGCATCACCCATTGATGGGGACGCCCTAGTGCCTAGGGAGAAGAAGAGAAGGTAGGGGGTGGTCGGGCCGCCAGAGTTCAAGAAGGTTAAGGTGGAAGGATCCAAGGTCGACCCGGTAGCTCTGACCCCGGAGACGGCGGGAAACCCTCGAGTTGAAGGCGAGGGGGAAATTAGCTTCCCAACGGCACCCGAGAAGTGTATAGACGCAGCCGATCCTCGGGCCGTGGGGATGGGGGCTTCCGAACCGGAGCCTGATGCCGCTGCGGTCCATCTTTGTAGTGGGGAAGCAACAGATGGAGTATCGAGTACTACCCCCGAGTTGGCTGGCGGCCAGGATTCTCCCCGGGTCGAGGTGCCTTTGGTAGGTAGTTCGGAGGGGCCCAGCTCTGGGATCCAGGGTGAACAAGGGATGTAGACTTTGATTGATCTTGTCAACTCTGTGATCGTTATTGATTCTCCTCAGGGAGTGATCCTACCGCCTCATGGAGTGCAAGATGCCCCACGTGAAAAGCCCTCTAATACAGGGGCACCAGTAAAAGGCGGAGATGCGCTCGAGAGATTACCGACCGTTCTCGAGGGAATTCCTGAGGTTGATGCTTCATTCATTTTTGGCGAGATGGCAGACTTTGCGAGCGGGTAATTTTTGCTAACCCTGTCCGCCGCTCTAGGATACTCCGATCTTTGTTTTTCTAACTTGTCCTTTTTCGTGGCTTCAGGCCAAAGCGTTTTACAGCCAGGCTTTAACCCAATACCAGGATGAGGTTGATGTTCTAAACGTCAATACCACACAAGAGGGGGGTGATTTGTGCGGTACCCAATTTTCGCTCTAGAAGAACCTGGTTCTTCTAGGTGTTCTAACTACTACTGTTTGTGGAACAAAAGGTACATAAAATAAAGAACACAGAGATTTTTACATGGAAAACACCTGGCTCAAAGGTGAAAAAACCACGACCTACTACTTAGTAGGATTTTCCCAAACTTCCACTAAAATCACTGAGCCAAAACAACATTTACAAAGATTCTTTGTAAACTTAAGGATTAACTCTAATCCCGTTGTAGCACACAGCCTCAACTGTTGCAACAACTTCAAGTTAGCTTATAACTTGAACACTCAAAGTACCTAATACAATTACTTCTATGAAAGCTAAAAGTTACAACTTTAAACCACCTACTACAATTGAACTAGAATAAGAAAAATACAATGGAACTGGTTCTTCTATCTCGTTCAAGTAGCTTCAGGAGTGCACACTAATATCTCACATAAATTGCTTGCAAAATCGCCTTGCTCTTTTGCTTTCAATTTAGTTTAACTTCTGCTTTTGTTCAATACCTGTAAAAGAGATCAATCACTGTCATTTAATAGGTTAATAATCAGAGTTTGATTGGGACTCAATTGCTGATCTTCTATCGTAGTTGAGTCCTTGAAGATCCCAAACTCCAACACTATCTTTTATCCGGATTGTGTTCTCTTTATATAAGGAGACCTTCTCCCCTTATCCAATATGCAACCTTTTCAATCAGGTCACGAGATATTGTTGATGACTTATCTTCTTCATGCTCATCTCCTTCATGTGCATCTCACATGTTTAGATCAAGACTGTGCTTCACCAGATTGACCTGGTCCATGACTAAGTTTATTTGTCATTCTTCAAAACTTTACCTGTTCCTGGGCCAACAAATTCCCCCTTTTTGATGACGACAAACTCTGTGCTTTTTACTGATCAAAGAACCTGTAAGAACTCAGCTTAACCATTAACCCTAAACTTAGAAAATTTACTTATCATCAAGGACCAGGTTAATTAGGTTATAAATATCACTTATTTCAGAATAATGTATAAAGCACAATATCTCTTCCCCCTTTTGGCATCATCGAAAAGTTGCATACACAGTGTGAATTCTAGATTTTAATAAGTACTCATGGTCACTAGGGCAACTGCAAGTGAAAACATGGTGCAATTATCAATATCAACAAACATATTTAAACTATTAAGGTCTGAATCATCATAGAACAAGAGAAAACAGTTGTTGTCATTGATCATAATATGTTGCCATTAACAGTCCACAAAAAGAAAGAAAAACTTTCAAAACATTAGCAAAAACAGAAAAATCCCTAATCTGGGGTCACTGGGGTTCACTAGGGGTACTAGACAGGTTCAGAAGACAAGTGCTAGGAGACCTAAGGCTTGGAGGAACTAGAGGGTTGAGTTTGGAGAAGGTTCAGCATATTTTGAAGGATTCCACCACTCTTCTCCTTTTCTTTAGCTAGCTCAGTTCTAAGGTCATCCTTCTCAGTTTCCAATTCAGCCATACGAGTCTTGAGCCTAGCAATTTCAGCATCCTTATTTCCACATTCCTGAACCAAAGTCCTAACCTTGTTGTTGATGGGTGTCTTCAGAGATGAACCAGGTTCAACTGGGATGGCATTGACTGGATAGTCACAAGCCAGAAGAGTCTTAATGCCAAAATGTTCCTTACTTGATGCCATTTCCCATTTCTTCAAAGGCACGTTTAGCCTGTCTAGAACAGTGGTCAGTATGAAGCCATATGGAGTAGCATGAGCCTTGGAGCCATTGATGACCCTGTCTAGCAATTTTACAATGAGAGCAGGCCAGTTGATCTACTTTCCTCTCTCAAGGCACTCCATAAGAACTAGGTCCATGTAATTTACAATATGTCTTCTCTCTTGTTTGGGCAGTAGACACTTGTTGACAAACTCAAACAAAACCTTGTGCTCA